ATTTTGAACATAATTCGGCAAAGCTATGCGAACATCTGCATTTGTCAAAAACGGCATGTTATTGTTGGCGATAACCTCGCATCTTTTCAAGTTTGCCAGGGGTTGTTACAATAAATACTGGCTTTTGCAGTCATATAAATATGTAAACATATATCATAAAGTAGTTGAAGTACTTTGCCAGAAATTAATTTGACCTCATAACTTTAATTTAGATAAATTGAAGGAAAAACTTACCTCGAGGCGCTCGAAATTTCCGCCATTATTAACTTAAGCGATAACCCTAAGTGACGTAGTGCTTCTGATTTCTTTATAGTAAAACAACATCTAGACATCGTTGGATCAGATCACTAAATTTGTAATTAAAAAAGTTTTTAAGGAAATAATGATGTCAAATTACAAAAAAAATACATCAACAAAATCTTAAAAGTTCTAAAATTCTCTCAGACCTCAGTAAACACTGTATTAAGCCTTAGGCTACTCAGTATCAGCTCAGTGGCCTAAAAACCACTTCAATATTCCTCAGTATCTTCTCAGTACCAACAGATTCAACCACAGTACCTCTAGGTATGTCCTCAATGTACAGAGTGAAAATCTCAGTGCTACACAGGGCAACCTCAGTTAATTCAGTACCTGGCTCAGTACCACTCAGGGTTTTCTCAGTACCACTCAGTATTTTCCAGGGTTTTGTTGGATTCTTAGGCTTTTTAGTTACAGTAGTGTCTGGTCCAGTCGTTAGTGAGAGGATTTTAAAAGTTTTTTTCCCTATATATTTCTATGTAAAACTGGAATTCCCTATTGTAACCCGCCCTACCAAATGTGGTCATGATTTGTTCAATTTAGAATCTATACACTACCCAAGGATCTTCCACAAAAAAGTTTAGCTTTTCTGGCCCAGGGGTTCTTTAGAAAACAATTTAAATTACTCCAACTATTTTTGGAGTTCCTCGCTTATCTTCCCTTGGACGGAGACTTGGCCCTTTATTTTTACAATTTCAATTTTCATTTACCGAAGGATGCTTTGTACAAAGTTTGGTTAAAATTGGTCAAGTAACTTTTGAGGAGAAGTTGAAAATTTGAAAAGTTTACTGACGGACGACGAACAACAGGTGATCAGAAAAAAAATTAATTGAACTTTCAGCTTAGGTGAGCTAAAATTTAAAAAAAAAAACAGGGACTCCTGAAAATCGCAAAGGTGGAACCAGGTGCCAAGTTGACAAATTGTGGACCAAGGTTCATTAAAAAATTATATCTTGGTATATTTTATGCTTTCGGCTTTAGATAGTAGTTGGGTAAGGGCTCCACAGAATCCAAAAGGAATGTAGCCTGAGTGCAGTTAAACAAAGATGTACACCTACATGTACCAGCCGAAATCATTTCTGTCAAAGTAAATAGCAAATTTAAACAAAAAATGTCGATTAAAAACAACAGTTTTATTCTGTGTATAAGGGCAATGTCATTGCAAGACACAACTTATTTAACTTCTGTTTGATATACATGATTTGTACATCCAAAGCTATGAAATCAACGATCCAACATCTGCTTTACAATACTGTACCAGAGCCTTTACAAAACAGTGAGTTTATTTTATATTATTTTGAAAACTTTAATTTTCGACATCTGCAGTACAATAGCGTACAAGGACCTTAACTCTTTACAACTCGCTGAATTGTTATGCAACGTACACTTAATGTTCACGTCATAGAAATATTACGTTACCATTTCCCTGCAAGCACATTTTAACGTGGTACAAGTTTCTTTAAAGTTTAGCGGAAATACTATTATGACGTTAAATTTTTATAAGGAATGACATTTTTATTTGATGAGATTTTAGCAAGTATAGAATAGATGGAATTTTGGAATAAATTGAAGATTAAATAATTTTTTTTAAAGTTCGTGAAAATGCGTGATTGCGGGGAAATGGGTAAATGCCTGATTTTGCGTTAGAAAATAGGAAATGGTTTATACGTCATAAGTTCTATGGTCGATACAATGACCTTGTCAGCAATTACAATTCATCATTGAGTCAAATGCTAACTGAAGTTTTTCATACCAATTGTTAGTCCATTATTTATACACTAAATTGACGACGGATTTTCCCGTTACTTCTCGATTGTGACAAGGAGCACAAAGTGGGTGTGACCGGTCGGCAGGGGATGCTCATTCCTCCATGGCACCTGATCCCACCTGCAGCATTGTTAAGGCTTGAAAAAGGGGGCGGGGCCTAATTTATACGGGAAAAGTTTACTGTGACCTCACGCAAAAATATGACATTTATGTATTTCTCAAAATACGTGAAAATGAAATAATTTGCAACTTTTAACTGTATTAGCATAATAAACAATATAACTTATCAATGCATTTAAAAAAGTTGCTAATTAAATCCCACATAGCTGGTTATAAACATACTACTGATTGCGATGAACTTTTAAACAGGACGTCATATTGGTAAACATGACGTATTTCATGTGCTGTGAGAGGCAGATCGAGGACTTTTTTAACAATGAAAAAATGCGTTTTATTCTTAAATGGAATATTATTTACAGGTTTTAAATAGTCGATTAATACCAAAGTATATCCTTTGTTTAGTGCGATTATTAATTAACTTCCAAGAGAATGTATTTTATTTATTGTGTCGTGTTTTTATGTACAGGTTACGTAAAGTTTACATCGAGATGCCTCATAAAATCGTACTTTCGCGAGGGCATACACTTGATAGATCTTAAACATTTTTTGAATATAGATAAAGGATATTTTCCTTAACTTGAAAAGTGCTGCTGATTTCTTTAAATCGAGGGCGTGATTTTATATGTACACAAAATATTTGGTAAAAGTCGAACATTATTCGACATTGGCTTATTTACTTTAAAATTTAAGTATTAAAACGCAAATTCTATTCAAAGCAGCAGCTACTACAAAGTATGCAGAAACAATTAATAGCTTGAATTTTTAATTTCAACTAGAGAGGGATGCTCACTCCTACATGGCACCTGAATCAACCTCTGATGTTTTGGAGATCCTAATTTATTCTTTCCTATCGTTTAAATTTTTTTTTGACTTTTGATCTTGCATATATTTTGTCATCTCTATGTTTCATTTAGATTCATCTAGGACATTTCATGCATGTCAGCAACTGAAGTTATACAAGGGCTGTTCGGAAATTATTAAGATAATTAGTTTAACTTCATAAAAGGCAGAGGTAAATTTATGAGGATTCGTCAACATTTTTAAAGGAACAAATAAAACAGTTATGCTAAATTTCTAATTCACAGTATTTATAGATACGTTCGGGTGAAATCAGAAATATACATATGCCCATCGACCTGGAGCAGCATCGCTACGTCAATTTAACGTCACATCAGCCATATATGTTTTTGCATGTCAAACGATCGGGGAGCATTTAATTCTCTCTTTCTTGCGTGGACACTGAGGTCCATGCAGTAAATATATACGCGAGGTTAAAACGGATGCCATGGGTAAACGTCAGGCTACGCATGCGCGAGAATGCTAGAGAGTTCGCCCCTAACAACTTACCCGTAGAATAACTCGCCCTATTTGAGTTAGAATTGGTCATTCATTGACAAATCTCGCTTTTAAATCTTCATATCGTATTTATTTAATCATTGGCGCATCGAATTTCTTTCTTAAACATATACTTTTATATACAAACTAACCATTTATTCTATGACACATGCATTTTAAAAAGTAGGAAGAACTTACATAACTTGATAACTTGAATTAAAAACTTCATTCAACGAACAGTTCTAGGTTTTAAAAGATAGAGCAAGTCTTCACCGGCATCTGTTATGTGCATCTAGGAATCCAAATACAGCTTGATACAGGTCTGTGGAAATGGGTTTCGATGTCGTTGAGGGGAGGGAAGGGGGGGGGCTCCGAAAAAAAAATCTCCCTACTACAGAGCTGCATAACCAAGAAATGTACCATCAGATCTATATTTCCAATAATAGATTTTTTTCGTATAATTCCAAAATAGATGTCAGGTCCAAGCGTTATGGGTTTACGGTTTACATGTATCAAAATACCCCGATTTTTTTTAAAATCATAAAACTTTAGGCTAATCGGAAAAATTATTTTACAATTTTCGTATGAACATGATGAGGACTATCAGTCAAAGTAGGCAAATTATTGTAGTTAATGTGAAAGACCTACATGAATATTCACTTCACCTAGAAATTTTCTTAAACTGAATTTCGGATAGAAACACATGCATATGGATCACGTATTGTAGTCCTGTTGTAAAGGACAGCAACTTGTTATCATATATAAATAACATTTAATGAAATCCACCTGTCTCTTATCTTAAACGAACTTTTTATAAAATATGTACTGTTGCTACCGCAGTGTAAAGTTTACATGTGTAAAACCGTGTATATACAGGATGCCCTAACATCATATCAATAAAACACCAAACTCTTAGACATGTTTATCTCTAAGCTATTGTTTTAGAAAGTTAGTCAGTTCAAAAAAGAGTTATAAATAGCGCTTCACGAAATTTTATGTAATCTGCAGCTCCGCTTTGAGGTAAAAATCCATTGTGTCGTGGTAATCAGATTTCCTTACAGTGCCTAATATTTTCAATTATCTCTGTATTTCTCATCAAAATTCTAAAAACTTTGCACAACACGAAATCAAAACTAATTTGAAAAATTATACACAAAAATTGAATTATTTGCGCTCTTAATATGGGTCCACCGTGAGTTTCAACGTTGGTGTTACATATTTTCAATATCTGATGAGTGCACCGGGTACCCCTACCGTTGATACATTTATATACCATTGAAGAGAAGAAATTTATTATTTGTAAAATATTTCTTGCTTTTAATGAATTCGTAATGTTTGTCTAACGTATATGCAAATAAAAGCAAATTTTCACCGAGAAACGTTCATTAGAAAGAGAAATATTCACAATGTCTCAATAATTTCCGAATAGCCCTTGTTAAAATTTTTATTCTGTGATATTAATTAAACTCGTGATTTATAAGGTATAAATTCAAACATCTGTTCGGCGCTTAGATGTGACATTGTAGGATTTTCAAGATTCTTTCGTAAGTATGGTTTAAAATGTTCATACAGAGATGAAATAAGGATATAACAAACTATTATTAAGATTAAAGTAAATTTTGAAGTAAAAGTTGTATGTTTTAGCTCACCTGAGCCGAAGGCTCAAGTGAGGTTTTCTGATTACATTTTGTCCGGCGTCCTTCTGTCTGTCTGTCTGTCTGTCTTTCTGTCTTTCTGCCTTTCTGTCTGTCTGTCTGTCTGTCTTTCTGTCTGTCTGTCTGTCTGTCCGTCTGTCTGTCTGTCTAGCTGTTCTTACGAGAGGTACATTGTGGGGTAAAATTAACGTATTTTCCAGCAGTGTGGGGTTTTTTTGGTACTGTGGGGTTAACCCCATAATGAAGAGGTCTAATTACGTTCAAAATTACTCTAAGAGGTCGAAAAACCTAAAATTAGATTTAACCTCACAAAGACTTTGTCCAAATTTTGGACATGTCCTTAGCCCAAAACGCTCAGACATTCAGAAATCTGCTGTTTAGAGGAGTTCGGTAATTGAATCGAGGAGTTCCGAATACCTGAGCATGCGCATATATTTAAAACTAACTGCGCATGCGCATATTACGGAAGTAGCTGTGTTTGGACACTTTGTATTAGCAGTGAGGAAATTCGGAAACACAAAAAGCACATGCAGTAAGTCTTACTATTTTGTTGCACCACATTGAAAAAAAGCTTTGTAAATTGTTTGACATGCTTCATACGTACATTATGCAGTTGTAGAATTTATTTAAAGTCAAGGAAAAGACATCTGTAGTCCACATAAACACATACCTATTGAAAACGGGCTTTTGTGAAAAAAATTATAATGAATGCACTGATAGTTCTTTTTTTAATCAGAGGTCTGCAATGAAAACGACCGATACCCGGGGGTCGGGCTAGTGGTTTTCTGCATGAAGGTCGCCCCGTTGGCCAGTAAAAAAAGATAATATTATTTATACACATGCAACACATGCAAAGCACACCTGGTACGTATTTTCACTCGTTTTTTGCTATAAAAATCCAAACCATTTAAATTTTCCATATAACATGCTCCAACTGTCAATAAATCTCCATAATTTAATCCGTATTTGAGTACTACTTGGCTTATTTACTTCAAAAAACGATCGTGTTTTTTCTTAATTCGAATTTTCTCTATATCTATGGTAAATACATGCAGATATCTCATAACATAAATACATGTGATTCTTCCGACGGGAGACAAAATCTCTGGATTTTTCACGCCTGTTCCGCCCCTCCCGATTAATTTTTAAATCTTCCGTGTTTAAATTTTTTCAAATTGAATATTTTTGGCTTTAATTTTATCCTGTTTCGTAGTATAATTGCTCTCTCTCTCTCTCTCTCTCTCTCTTCTCTTTGAATTCATTCTAGATACGTACCAATTGTTTATCTACTCTTCACACATTTGTTTACATGTACTTGTAATCGTACCTTAATCTATAGAGAGAAAATCAGAATGGAAAATGGAATTAACAATGTCACTGCAATAAATTTTCACAGCAAGTAGGCTTTGTAGGAATCAACATGGGGTTGTATAATTAGGTTGTAAAATTTAGTGGTATATCAATTTGATAAATGACAATCAATGTTTATAAATGAGTGCAGGACATTTTAATCAGTTGTTAAAATACCCATTATGTCACATTTTTTTCACATTCGCTTGTGTAATTATGTGCCCGATAATAAAATTCACCTATTAAAGAAATTAAACAAATTACCTTTAGATACGTATATAAAATTATATAACTCTGTTTGTGTTAATGGAAAAAATATAATTGTCATGTAAGATCAATTTTTACTTATTTTTCAAGATCGACGATTGAAAATTTAAAAGAATTAAATCACAATTAATAGTTTTTCCATAGCTAAACTTAAAGAAATTCAAGCTTAAAGCTACATTTTGTAATTTACAATATTAATTCATCATTACTTTGAATATTTACAGTGAGAGTATGTGACTTAGCTAATACAGGGCTATCAGTATTTTCACACCTGTTAGATTTTGATTCCGTGTAGAAGCTCTAATTGCAATTTTTGTCAAAACAAATGTTTTGTATAGCATGATTATCTCGTGAATTTCACTATCAGGAGACGATCGATAGGGATTAGTTACGCTCTACTGCACTTGACACCTGTGTTGTGTAGAATGATTTTAAACTGCGTAAATACAAATCTTTGGTCAATTGAATAATTTTTTGTGTGTGTCTGCATGTTAGATAGAAATTCTGACAGCTTTATAAAAATAATATTAAAAATTTACCAGACTCTAAAAGCTTCAGCAAACTAGTTGATCGAGGATTAATTGAAGGGGGGGGGGGGGGGTTTACACTGCTGATCATTACCTGAACATATGATAGTGAAGTTTTTAAATGGATTTTATTGACACTTACTAAAATAAATTTTCATACTTTTAATTCACCATTAAACTGTCTTTTAATTAAAGCTTGTGTATTTTTTCTTATTAAAAAAATAGATAGTAGTAAGGCACATGTATTTCTTCTTGAATGATACTGTAATTCAATTATCATATATTTGAATGTAACAAAAGAACACTCTGAGTTCCCGAAACTAGTCAAAAATATGTCGGACAATTGTCTTGTAAATATTCAAAATTCACCGGACAGTAAAAAAAAAAACTGTTGTAAAATTTACCTGACATTAATTTTTTGTATGTAAATTTAACATATTATAGGATTGGAAATTGTGTCGATATAATAAATAATATGTGTAAATAAAAAGATGGCAAATGCAGATTTAAAAAAAAAAATGATTAAAATATTTTCTATAAGGCCTGTGTATGCAGGATTTGACGTCGCCGACGGCGTGTGATGACCAACGCTTAATTCATCGTATAAAATTATTATGTCCTTTCTGACAGATTTTATTAAAATTTTTTTTTAAAATAAAATCTGCAACATGACAACTCTTGGTTGATTGTTTGGAATTAGTGGGAAATATATGTTGTTTTCCAGGCTTTTTTCTTTTGGATTTAGGATTTTGGTATTTTATGTGCCAGGAAAAATATTACGTAAAATATCAAACTCGTTTTAAAAAGCCTGGAAAACGTCCGATATTTCTGACTAGTTAAAATTTATTATATAACCTCCACACAGTTAAAAATATGTACTAATGATATAAAGATATGCAAATTTATCATGAAAATGATGATTTAAGTGAATTTGTTGTCGTTTTACTACATTCAAGTCAGTCCGCTATTTTTAGAAAAGGGGAAAAACGCGCATGTATTTTAAATGCTATCAAATACATTTAAAAAATCCAGAAGTTGGTATAATATTATCATGCTAATAGATTAAATTATAGAGAAAATAATAAATGGTAACAAATTGTCTGTAATCAAGCAGAAATAGCAGGCAACTCTTGCAACCCTGCAAATTCGTCCTTCAAAACGAAAGTAGATTGTCACATTTTTTTACTGTCAGAACTACAGAGTGCATATATTTATCAGAGGGAAAATATTTGTTTGACAGTGTTTTTAAAACTGTTTTTCCTCCCAGACTTATGGAAATTATTATTTTAATATGTAGCTTTTTATAGTAGACAATTTTACACATTTTATTTAAACAAGATCTGGCGCGCCCCTGACGTTTTTTTCATTCCTTTAGTTTTGCATTTGTTTATTGTCAGGACAATTGAATTAAATGATTTTGTTAAGATTATATGTAAACGTTATACAGTCTGTAAAAAAAAAAACCATCAGACATTTTGACCGATAACATTAAGATTTTACCGGTCCCATTCAAAGTTTACGGGGATCCCTAGTGTACCGGTGCGTTTCGGGAACTCTGAACACTTATGAATGTATGAAGTTTAACTGTTTTGTAGGAACAGAAACATCAGTGGCGTAGCTAGGCTGAAAATGAAGTGCATGCTCCAATTTGCAAGGGTCTGGGGGCCGCCCTGAGGCCCCGAGTGGGTCCAGGGCAAAGCCCTGGTGGGGGCCCAAGCCTCCGGAAGCTCCTGGATTCTGACGATTTAAACACTCATAAAATCATAAAAGAAAGTGAAGAAAATACATATCTTGACAACGTTTTACCATTATAAATAAACCCAAGGAGCAATTATAATTGTAGAGAGACGATTTAAAAAAAAAAACTTAATTTTTAAGTAATACAGGACATGCTATCGTAGATTGGCTAGTATAAAAATTTTCGGCGATGTTTTTTATCCGCAAAAATTACGAAAAAAAAGAATATTACATCAGGTAATAAATAAAATTAAAGTGGCTCAGAACAATCTACTTATTAATTCATCTTATAAAATAAATATTTTTGTAAATTCAACCCTAAAACTTAATTTCATTTGAGAAAATGAAATGCTCAATTTTTTACGGTAGCTGCCATAATGGTTTTCGAACTTACAGTGTCAGTGACTTTATTTTTTTTTTAAGTAGTAAAACTACGCAAGTGTACATGTAAAGAAAATTAGAAGAAACATAACTTTTGATACTACAGTTATAATTTAATTTGTACATGACTGAGAAGGAGTCAAGTCATAGAGTCTCATTATCTTTTTTTTCAAAATGATGTGCATGCTCGAGCATACAAGCATACATGGTAGCTACGCCACTGAACATGCACAAAACCTTAAAAATTTGGAATTCTTTAATTTGATATTTTTTAAATAAGCATGGATTAATATATATATATACACACATACAAAGGTTTTGTGAAATTGACATGTTTAATTAAATCAACTGTAGTGGTTATTGCTGTTTATTTATTGACCGACTGGCTACTTCTTTGGCAAACTGGAATAAGAGGCCACCTGTCTAGTTTCTGGACTTCCCAAAGCTTAAAACAAGTTTGACTGTACTTTTTCACCTTTTACCAATATAAGAAAGTAGTTCACAGTACATGACAACTATGCTATAAATAAATTTCGATGAATTTTAATTAGTAACTCGGAATTTTTGTGTGTGTTATAAATAAACATTTGCTTCTGTATTCCTTTGTAGAGTTCAGATACCACTGAA